ATTTTCAAGTTTGCAAAACCTAAAAATCACCATTATTTAGGATTTTTTTCTAATTCTATTTTTCCTAAATGCAGTTTTATTTTTGTATAATATTTTTAAGTACTTCGTGGTTTCCTTACATATTTGAATTTCTAACGGTTAAGCTTTTACCCATATTCTGACATGATAATTTTTCCGAATAATCCAAATCTGCGGATCTATTCTAATTTGTTTGAATTACGGATATTTTCTTGGACTTTGTTTGAAAATTTGAATTTTTGTAATAAGATTTCGGAATTTTGTTCGATTTTTTTTGAATTTCCTCAATTTTCGCCTTTTTTTGAATGCCACAATTTTCGGAAATGAAAATTTCATTTTGATTTAGAGTTTTGTCGGATATTTCAAACTTCCGAAATGCTCAGGACCCTTCTTTGACTTATCGAATTTTTCTTTGTTGTTTTGTCAAGCTCTTGAATTTGCTTTGAGCTTTTTTCAAGTTTCGAATTACAAAATTTCAGAAACTTTCGAATTATCAAATTTTTCACAATTTCTCGATTTTCTTATCTGTTGAAGTGATTTGCAAAGCATATTTATGGATTCTTTATTTCACTGTGCCTTTTCCTAATTCCAGTGCATTTTTTAATTTTAATTCTTTTTTTTTTGACAGCTTCATAAATGTATGCTTTTGCTTGCTAATTTTTGGGTGCTATTTGGTTTACCTGTCCTTTCAAGTTCTCGGGTTTTTTTTAGTGTGTGAAGTTTTTAGTTTCTTTTAGCTGTATGGTGTTTTTTCATAAATTTTTTGATTAAGTTCTCGAAATTTTTTTTCAATTTTTGTATTTTTTGTCGGTTCTCCTAGAATAGTTTTTTTTTGTCTATTCTCCTAGAGTAGTTTACTTTTTGCATGCCTTTTACTCACTTTTTTTTGTAACATCTCATTACTTACTTTTTCCTGCATGTCGTTTATTTACTTTTTTTGTACATATATTGTTACTTACTATTTTATTACTTATTTTGCATGTCCTTTATTTTCATCCCTTGTATTGTTATAAACTTCATTTTGCATGCATTTTACTTAATTTATTTGTACACATCATTGCTTATTTTATTTTTGCATATCGTTTACTTACTTTATTTTTACATATTCTAATGCTTTTTACCCACTTTCCTTCTTCGTGTATCATTGCCAATTTTATTTTTGCATGCTTTTCATTCACATTGTTTGCAAATATTTTGTTGTCTGCTTTTTTTGCATGCTTTTATTCACTTTGTTTTTACTTGCTTCATTACTTATTTCATTTTTGAATGTTTTTTACTTAGTTTATTTGTACATATTTTATTACGCACTTTAATTTTGCACGCCTCTTACTTACTACCCTGTGCACATATTATTGCCAACTTCATTTTTGCATGCCTTTTGTTTGCATCGATTTTATTACCTGCTTAATTTTTGCATGTCTTCTACTTACTTTGTTTGTACACGTTATTGCTTAATTTACTTTTGTATGCTTACTGTATTTGTGCATACTTCCTTCACTTTACTTTTGCATGTTTCTTACTCACTTTGTTTTACATATTTTATTATTAACTTCATTTTTGCATTCCTTTTGCTTACTTTATTTATGGAAAATTTTTCGCTTTTTTATTGTTCATTTTTTCTATTACTTTGTTTTTTTATTGCTTTGTTTTTTCTTTTTAAATTTATTTATTGCAAAGCAAAATTTATTGCCTTGTTCTTACTTGCTTTGTTTGTACATATCATTGCTTATTTTATCTTTGCATATTTTATTTACTTTCCTTGTGCATGGGTTATTAACAACTCTATTTTCGCATATTATTTTATTTACCTTATTTATACGAGTCATTACTTACTTATTTTTCCATATCGTTTATTTACTTTTTTTGTACATATTTTATTACCTACTTTATTTTGCATGTCCTTTACTTTCATTCCTT